ATCCATCCATCCATCCATCCATCCATCCATCCATCCATCCATCCATCCGTCACTCTGTCTGTCTGTCTGTCTGTCTATGAATGACAAACCTTGCCACTCCTTGATTTTGCAGGATTTTTCCTTTGTGCACAAAGTGTCCACCTTTCAGCCCTTTATGGGCTCTTCCATGTTCGCCCCTTTGAAGATGCTACCAAGCCAGTGCCTGCTACCGCTGAAAATTCCAGAGGCCTGCGTCTATCGGCCTTCTTGGGCTATTCCTCCCAAAATTGAGCAACTTCCTTTACCGCCCACGGCTGCTTTCATCAGAGATGGTTACAAGTAAGTGCAGCAAGGAAATGGTATTTTCAAACTGGGCCTCGGTTCTCTTTCTTGGTTTGTTTCTCAAGCTAAGATTTTCCTTCTCATCCGTGAACTTTACTTTGCTGTAACAAGGTGGAGAGGAGACTATTTAACAAGGCGCAGTGGTCTGGCATCACTTTTGCAGTGAGAGTGTGAGAGTGTTCATGGTAAAATCCTATTGGTGTAGGTGCAGCCTTAGGGAGATCAGTTTCTTTTTCTCTCTTGCCCAAAGGAGGGATGAGTGATTTCTTACGTCCTGTAATCGTCAGGCCCTGAAAATCCCACCTCTTCCGCCCACCCTTCAAGTTTGATACTTTATTTTATTTATTGATTTATACATCACATTTATATGGCTGCCCATCTCACACAAAACGACTCTGGGTGGCATCCAACAATTAAAATAAAACAAGTGAATAAAAACAGGCATTGCAAAAAGATAAAAAGTTATTATTAGAATAAAAACATCACACATTTAAAAAAAATAGATTTTAAAATATACAAAAATATACTTGCAGTTACATCAGTGGGATGCAGTCTTTTTTTGATGGGGCCTGACTCCTCCAGGACTCTTAGAATACCTGGGCTGCCTACCTGTCCTCTTCTTAGCAAGTTCCCCAGTGCAGCCTTTCCAGCATGGCCATGGAATTCATACAGATGTGATGGAATGTATCTGCGAAGAGGAGGGTGATGTAGTGGACAGCAGCAAGGCTATCAGGAAGGAGGGGGTGCATTCCAGGAGGGGAAAGGAGATAAGAGACAACACAGTCCACAGGGGAGCATGGGAAGCGAAAGAAGTTCAGGATAGCCACTCTGTCAGAACCTGCATCAATCAGCCAATAAAGGAGCATTTATCTGAACCAGGCCTGGTTTCACAAGAATTCTTCTGAATTGGGGTTTGGACTTTGTGGACTTGACACACTCCCTAGAATCCCCCAGGGTATATCCACTAGTTGCAGTAGTATAGATTTAGTTTGGCAAGATTCTGTCTTTGAGGTATAAGCAAATAAAGGAACTGAACTCAACTGGACTGTTTCACCGTTGTTCCTGAGCTGGGCCTGGCATCAGCTGATCTCCCACGCTTTCTGGAACAGGTGGCTCCACAGCTACTTGTTGCGAACGCTTGGTTCCCTCTTGCGCTCAACTATTGGCTAGGAATGAGGGAAATTGTCCTATCCACTCCCTTCTCCCTCCTCTTTTCTCCTTTT